TTCCATTTTGGTTGCTTGATTTTCATTCTTAGCAACTTACAGCCTTCAACGACCTGCGGTCCATTCAGCACCCNCCCCCCCCCCCCCCCCCCCCCCCCCTCTATCGAAAAATCTTTAAAAATTGGGATGAGGAAGTGCAAAATCCTTACCGCTGGTCAATGCCATTTTGGGATGAGTACACTCATTCGACTCTCGTTCAGAATTTTATAGGCATTTGAATAGGTATGCGTTAATCAATGACTTGGTGTGGCCAGCCGAGTTCAGTGTTTTTATCCTCTTAGATGAATTCAGTACCAATTGAACAACATTTAAGGGATGTAAAACTTGGGTGGTCAAGGCGGATCAATCTGAGATTCGACATTCAGATCATTCAAGTGTTTCTGCGCCGTTTTTGGGCCCAAATTCCAATTTTTTCATTGCGAAAAAGGCTCGGCACGGGTAAAGACTTTCGTATGATGCATGTGGAGGTTGTACATGGATTCAGAAGGAATAGGAAACGGTAAACTCATTCTCACTCGCCTTTGAGTCCACTCGTATTCATTTATTAGAAACTAGTTCTAAATCGGCTCTTCTCGAGGTCTATTGCTACTTGCTCCGCGTCGCTGCCGCACGCGTCAGTTCCCCGTGATCCGGCCACAACTGGGTTTGCTTCCAGTAGAACTATACGAGCCATATGGAAAGGATATCGAATTTTTCTCAATAATTGGTGGTAATCATTCGATAATTAATCATTTACCACTCGAATAATCCTTCGAGATATGCCACGTCCCTTGCTTTTCCCTATTCCAAGAGACATTTTCTTTTCTGACACTCTTTATGCTTTGCGAAATTCAAGAATTTCACGGCCCGTTATCGACATGCATGCTTTTAGGGTTTAAATGGAAAGGGCATCATTCCATAGTGCATAGATCTTTTGGAAAAAAAAGAATCGCCTTTAATTCTTACCCCGTCTCCTCTGACTCAAGATACTTTTATAGAATTTTTAATGAAGTCGCTCAAAATAAAACACAAAGTGAAGTGCGTACGGTGTGAATGAGGAGAGCAGCTGTGAGAAGTGCNCCAAATAAAGTTGCACTTCTACATTCGCCAGTTCTTGCTGCTGAACAGCTGGATTTCAGCTGCCAGCGAAGCAACGCTCCCTTGGAGAGACAGGGGCTAGCAGACAAACCCTTACTGCTCAGCGGGTGGTGCAATACTAAGAGAATGGGTGAAAAGCAATCAAAAAGCTACACATCAAGCTCAAGTGGGCAACTTTTTAACTGAAGAAATGGTCTGAGTGATCCCTACAATAGTTCTTTCTTTACCTCTTTCGTATGAAAGTCTTGTGCATGACGATTACGGTAAACCCATGTAATCGTGTGTTAGTCTAGTCCTGTCTGTAGTGTTTCCTTCTGAGTTGTTTTGTATGTCCATCAGACCACATTACCACTAATCATTGGCGATCCAGCCTGTCAACCTTCCTGACCACGTTAACATCTCATTTTTGAAGCTTTGTTAGTAGCCAGGAGGCGCCATTGATGTCACAGCGCATAAAACAAGGTCACCATCCAGTATTACCCAAACTTGGGCGCCGCTGGTCGAGCCCGTTCTTCCGACTCATGTCATTGGCATTTGTGCTCCAATTACTAACAGATGAAGCAAGTGAAGAATTATAGCAGCGGCTTTGAAGTTCTGGCGCATTCATACTCAGCGAACAGCGAGATGACCCTACTGGTAGGCATTTTTGGACTTGAGTTCCAGTTCCATTTCCATATTGAAAAAACAGTCAGCTGATAGTAGTTGGCCCGTCATGACCACCGTCAACAGCTTCATCCTAATCAAGGTTGGCTGTGGTCAGAGAAGTTAGTGGACTCAAGACTCAGTTTGCATAAAGTGCCTATCAGGGATGTCTGAAGTCAGAAGAGTCTTAACGGTGTTTGGTTTGGGTAAAGCGCCCGGAACTGATTGTATCGTGAAACCCGTGTACCCAACAGCACCCGTGCAGCTCCTGAGTCACGACTTTGCCGTCTGCATTCTTGAAGCAAAGGGATGAATGGCCTATATCTAACGTGCATTATTCTCGCTCTTGATGAATGGCCTTTGGTTTGCTGCTATCTCCGTTCCACGTATACGTAGACATTAGATCCCATTGGAGGCGGGGTTGTCTGGAGAGGCGTTGCTTCCTGTATTTCGAAACGCGCTATTCTGCGTATAAGTTTTTCCTACGATATTTCACGTCAATCCCTTTTGTGTGCTAGTTTTTCGAAATGATTCTGTGTAGATTGTTCTAGGGCAAGGTGCCTTTAGATATTGTACAGAAGGGCACTATTCTATAGAATTTCCATTTCAAAATTGAAAAACGCGTTGCCAAGGAGAGACGCTGGCAGACGTCGATTTCGATAATTAACAGAGTTATGTCCACTAAACGACTCAATAAAAGAGCAGGTGGTGGGGGAAATTTTCGATTGGGCAGCCAGCAAAGGCTGGGCGAATCGGCCGAGTGAGTCGAGATTTTGTGGTCGTCGATGGGGTCGTCGTCGTTGTCCCGCCGCTGTCGCCATCGCCGTCGCCGCGGCCGCTCCACGGCGGCGGGCCCGTCAACGCGCGCGCTAATGCACCTCGGCCGGCCCGAGTGCTGTGAGCGATGGCCCAAACCAGTCCAGTAGTCTATTTTCGTTCAATGACCATTGCTTTCGGAAAAGCTTATTGCTCCAAAACCCGTCTACCAGTTAGTAATAAAACGAGTGGACGGGTAATTTAAGATTTATGTCTTGGAGCTTTTGTTCTTGTCCCCGCGGCTTATCACTAAGAAACAAGTTGTTAATTCGGTTCTTTCGCGGCGCATTTCTCCTCCTCTGCTTGTAACTTGTTTTCTGGGTGATTCAGTTATAGCTAATGTCTTCGATATCGTCAGATTTTATGACTCGTCCATCGGGTCCATTACTATTCCCCTCCACATGAATCATCTCTCACAATTCGCTCTTATCGTGCTATGGGTGATGTGCTTGCGTGGTGTTTCATATGTGTTTCTGTTTTTCTTTTTTATAACAGTTCTTATCATATAAGCCTACCCCCATAGAAATTCTTCCCAGGATTTCGTCATTCTAGAAAAAAAAAGCTGTTTTCGAGACGGAAAATTACAGAAATGCGACCTAATTAAATTCCATAGTGGTAAATTTCTATTGGGAGGAATAAATGGGATGGGCTTGTCGGAAAATAGTTCCCTCTAGGCGTTCAAACTTCAAACGTGGCTCTGTGAACATTTGTTCATACATTCAGTTCAAGCTTGTCTGGTGGTTGAACTTTCAGCGATAAGACCTACTTAAGTACAAACACTGAAGAATTCAGGACACCGAAGCAGTAAGAGGCTTGATTCTCATCAAAATGCAATTAAATCTTAAAGTTCATGCCTGTCTTTCTATAAATTTTCACCTTTTTCCCCAACAAAACCTGCCCAATGTTTAAGCTTGTCGTTCGGATGGGCTACAAAAGCTTCTTAGCGGCTGACATTCTATTGTTATCGGCTTAGAAACTTTTGAAACGTCAAAGATTTTTCTTTATTGTTTTATTCATTGGATTATCCATAGAGAAATTCTGCCTCCGTTATACTGTAGGTAATTTCCGTGCAGAATCGTGAATTCATCAGTTTTTTTTTTTTGGTTTTCATTGCTGTTAATTCCCATACTTCAATGAATTTTAATGAGTTTCTGGTGCAAAATTTATGGATTAAACTTGAATACATAAACTAACTCAGCGGATATTTTCAACAACATGCATATGTCACTGTTTGTTATGCGAAAGCGATCGATCAGCTGGCATAGATTCGAATGAATGACCTCTTTGTGATGAATAACCAAAGCTTTCCTTTTCTAACTGAAGCGCTTCTGCTGAAGCGATGTTGTTTGGGGTGCTAGTCCCCTTTGACATAAAAAACCCCTACAAGACACGTATCGGCGCGGTTTCGGGTGAATTGTAAAACCGGCTTTGTTTGGGGTCATCTTGGGGTACATGTTGGTTAGTTCATGGTGGAATTTACGAACTCGGAAGATGGGAATCTGGTTTATGGATGAGTGGGACATGCCCGATCCTTGAATGGGTCATCGTCGTCGTGACGTACTCCATATTGACTGACAATAGTATGATGTTGACCCGGGCGCTGTGCAATGACGATGATGACGACGACGATTCACGCTGGGAAAACTACTCGCCAACATCACAAATCGGGAATCAGTCTGTCGATCGGTCGGGGCTTTGGACGGGGTGAAATCGATTATTGAAATTGAGTCACCTGAGTTGTCGCCTTTGAGCCAAGCCCCCCTCACACCCCACCACATACACATACACACAGAGACAGGCCCAGCATTTTCATCTCACCCAGTCTCAGTCACGAATAACAGCGTCATCCCCGAACACAGGCACCGAGACACACACACCACACACTCACTTCCATGCCGGGTTGTCGTGGCGGCGGCATTCGGTGGTTGCAAATCGATGGTGTTCAGAAAAAGAAAAAAGCTGAAGAGGTCGGCCGATTTTCTCGCGTTTTTCCTCTTTGTCGCTTCTAATGTTATGTCTGAAGGGACACAATGTCAACAAATTTCTCTGCCATGTTGTAAAATATTCTTTTGACACTTTTTGCGTTCCACGCGGTTGTCCGGTTTCATCACGTCCGACTGCCGTTATTTATCGAGCGAATTTGGTTTCTTTCTTCTTGTGGTTCTAATGCTATGTATGCAGCGTTTTCATGCTCCATCCCACAACAGGGCACCGAGATTTTATTCAAAGATAACTAGTAGAGTCAAAATAGGCTTCAAAACCAGCTCACTGAATTTCCATGATTTTTTGATCCATGAAGACAGAAAAACCTAAATGTCTGCTAGCTTGGGCTTTTGGTTTTTTTTTTTT